AAGAGCGGAGATGAACAGATCATCCATAACGAAGGGTGGTTCCCGCAGAATGGTGAGGTGGTCATGGATCATGGTTTCAAGGCGGTTAATTGGGGCAAGTTGGTCCGAGGAACATTTTGTTCAAGCACAGAAGCATGAACATAGGGAATGAAGACAGGGAATGTAGACAAAGACAAGGAGAAGGGTAAGACAGGGAAGGGCATGGGAATTTGGTAAAGACAAGGAAAGGGAAGTTGAACACAAAGGGTAAAGGATGAAATGGGGAAGGGAATACAGCAATGCAGAAGAAAAAAAATCAGGAAGTGGGGAACAAAAAAAAAAATAAAATATAGGTCAGTACATAGGAAATGCAGGAATTTGGTCAGAAAATGGTTGGTTTATGTACTGTACAAGAAAAACTGAGTAAAATGTAGTCACCCAAGACAAATATGGGTAAAGTACATTCATATCAAGAGTAAACTACAGCATTTCATCTCAACATGAAAATAAATAAAAAAAGCATGCAATAGAAATTTTAAACTTTTAACTTTAACTGCGTAAGCATGGCTGGTTATGAAATGCAGGCAAAAAATCTTTCAGAATGGCACTCTGACCTAAAACATTTTAACATGCAAGACTGTGGATGACAAAATAGTACCAGATGATAAAAAAACTTCATGATTTACAGTGACAGAGGCCAGTTAAAAATGGAACAGCTAGACTGATGCAAACTTCCCACATTTCATACCAGCTTTCACAGCCATCAAAATAAATGTAAAGGACAGAAAAAATGCAAAATAAATAAACCCCTTTAGATTTCAGAGTTAGCAAGAAAGATACAGTTAAGGTGAAAACGCTCTGCCACCATTTTTTTAATTATTATTTTTAAAGACAAATGAGTAACTGCAAAGAAAAAAAATTACTAAGAGAGACTGGAAGAGTGCCTCGTCAAGATCTTTGGGAGAACCTTCAAAGAAAAATGTGTTAGAGTAGTTCACATAAATTAAGACCTTAAAATGTGAGATACAAGCATGAAATGAAACAGCAAACAATTAGAAGAAACAAAACAGAAATCCTAGTACATGTGACTGTAATTACAAAATAAAGCACAGTTGCTATTTTGTAAAAATAAATCTTTCAATTCAAATGTCAAACATGCAGTAGTTACCACATTTTTCTTAGAAAAAATAGGTAGCTGACTATCAAAGGACATTTTAAGTTGTTAGCTACCTCGGAAAACAAGTGTTTAACAATAATGGCTTTAAAATAAACTTGGGGGGATTATTAAAAAAAAAGAACAAAAATGCTTTGAGCTTAAAATCCAAATGCAAGAGGCCAAACACAAAGAAATTATAAAATACTGACAAATGAAGCGTGACTAGAGAGGAAAAAAAGAAGTAAAATTGTTTCACTGACCTCTTCATTTAAATTGCTAACCAAGAGGACTGTATTGCCACCAGCTGAAACTCCAGGCATTCCTACACGGCCAGCAGCAGCAGCTGCAGCTGCAGCAGCAGCATTTGGAATAGCCAAAGGACTCAGAGCTCCTGGAACAGCTGCAACAGGAAGCCCTAATTTTAAAATAAAGCATATTTTACGAAACACACACAAGTCTTAAAAAAAAAGTACCTATATCCGTACAAGTGTTGCATACAACACTCTACAAAGCAGACCATTCCCCTGTTAGTCATCCAAACAGTTGTGAAATGGGTTGTTAAATTAACATAAGGAAGTGAGATGTGAATTTTTTTTTTTTAATTCAGAACAAGTCTTCAAAGAAGTGATGAGGTGTAAAACATACTTTCTTTTCCAAGAACACCAAAACTATTTCCACTATACTCCAAAATGCTTGAAGTACCCAGTTTATCGAAATGGTCTAAAGTAAATGTTGATCAATCAGTAAGAATAAACACCAATTGCGCTCTCTGTACCATTATATCCTTATTTTCCACCACTGTGAGAGGCATTGCTCACTTCAACTTGATGCTTCACACTAAACACACAACACTGGAATTGGTTACGTGAAAAGGTCTGCATACCTTTTAGAGCCTTAGCATAAACAAGGTGAGGAGTCAGCCTTCTAAATTCAAGATTCAAGGTAATACCACTGATTATGCTCTGTGGCTTTTGTCATCCAGTTCCCTGAAGAAGCACGTTACAATTAGCTAAACCCTCAGCAGTGCTTTTATTTTTCTTTTTCCAAGGAAACTCACATTGTGTAGAGACCTTGCCGGTTTCGCCTGGTCAAGTCACTGGGGTACTAGGCAAGTGTGCTACTCCCAGGATCTATGAAAGGTTCTTGTGATACATATGCACTATACATAATTTATATAGGAACAGCTTTATCATATTTCACCAAAATTTTATTTGCACATTTTATAGTGTTCAGTAAAAGGACACTGATGTAGCAACTGTGTAAAAGCAATAAATAAATATGTCAGTATTTTATTTTCTTTTACTGTAACTGGGTTCTCAGAGTTCAGTATTTTAGCAAAATTTCTGCTGTTCATATGATCACGCTAAGCTAACACAACTTTTCACCGATCTTCTGCTGTGCCAGGTAGACTTTCACACTATGTACCTAAGACTACATCAAGACTACATCCCCTCCCACATCAAGTTTTATTTTAAAGGAAGTCATAAAAGGAAATAAATTCTTCAATTTCAGTCAATGCCCAAATACTAAGCATATAATAGTAAATATATTCAACCATTAACTTCAAAAAAGAATAATCCCAGGTTTAGTATCAAAAGGGAATACACAGGTGGACAAAAAGGGGGGAAGTAAGCAAGGTTACTTTTAAAAAAAAAAATATTTCCTAGAAAAAATTTCTATATTCATTCCAACTCTTCTGTTTTTTTACACAAATTTGTGAAAAAATAAATAATTAAAAGAAAAAAAAAAAGAGATATTTTGTTTTGCTGGACAAACGACCCCTCAAAGGGAACACGACATCCATCACTACTTTGCAATAGTGCTTAACAGTATTACTGATCAAGCATTGAAAAATATTTTCTGGTCATTTCCTGTCAAAGCACACACAGAGGAAAAAATGGTAAGCACTCTAAGAAAGGAAATTAAAGGTATGGAATGCTTTCTGATGAGAGTTTAAAAGATTAAAAATCTCAAGTATTCAGGGGTCAAACCAGAGGAACAGAAAGTTCTGAAGAATGAGAATTCCAGTTCTTTCTCATGCCACAAGATAAAGGTAAAAATCTACTTGATGCAAAAAGCAACAAATATGATGTTTTATTGCACTATGTGTGGTATTTGTGGAACTGACTGCAATACATAAAAAAGAAGGAAAACCCTATGTTGTCTTTCTCCCTTCCATCCTGCAAAAACACTTAACAGATTTGAGACTGTATTAGACAGTCTACAGAAACAACAGCCAGTCACACTAAATAGGCAATAAAGTGACATGTAAGGTAAGCCAAGCACTAGCTACCTGATGCTAGCTACACTAGCATCAGGTAAGGCAAGCACTAGCTACCTGGGGGTTAGGAAAACACTCCCCCAAGGTATGCTACTGTAGGATCATCCGTTATGAGGGTTGTGCTAGGTCTTCCATCAGAGAACATGGAAATAACACTAGCTGTCAGAGAAAGGATATGAAATTAGATGGACCACTGCTAGTCCAGGCATAACAATTCTGTTTCTCAAAATCCATTTTGTGTGAAAGTGTAATACTATATACTTAGGTATACTAATAGCAAGACAAAAATCTAACATAAATGCGACGCATGTTTTGCTCTTGGGTTAAAGCTGAAGAATATAGCTTTACTTTCAAGAAAAAAAAATTAATACAGGATGCAGTTAAAGAAAGTATCCCTGTGGAAGAAGTTTATTCCCAAAATCAGACTATAATACACAGAGAAACCTGTGAATATCAAATTAAACTCTCTCAAACAACTTTAAAAAAAAATCCAGTTCTGTTCTAAAAAAAATCATTTTGGAAATGTATTTTGAGTGCTTTGTATAGCATATGCTGAATGTCACATTATTTACACTCAGCTACTGTAGAGGTCATACACACAGAAATGTGAAGAATAACAGTAAGGTGTGACAGATGTCCACCTGAAGGGAAACAATTCATTTTACACTAAGCCAATAGCAATCATTTAGGTATTAGAAAATGCCAAGATACTAGAGCATTTCAAGTCTTCCAGTGTGTCTAGGCACCTCTCCCTAACCTTAGAAGCTTTAAGCCAGTCCAGCATTTTTAGGAATAAATGAATCTAAAGATGACTAGTGAAGTTTTTATGGCCCTTTCCATAGTTGGGCAAAGGATAGCTAAGTAATTCATACTTTAAAAAGCAAAATTCTTCACAGCATCAGATTCTCTACAGGACATTCTCCGGTCCCACTGAAGAAGTTAAAAACACAGATTAATTCAACAACATTCACAGAAAAATATTTTCAATTACTATCTTTGAAATAGATTAATTTAAGAAGAATCTTAAGAAGGGGCATTAGTGGAAAGTGCTAATAAAGCAAGCCAGCGTTGATAGCAAGGGATAAAGCTGTGGGAGCCCTAACCACAACAACATATTTCCAGCCGTAATATTAAACAAATATCTAAACTGGAGTTAAAGTATTATTACATACTAGTATTTGCAATTATAAGTAGTTCCTATTTAAAATCCATCTGCGGTGGTTCAGTATAGCACAGGTGCTTTTTAATCAAAGGGTTTTTCCTGTAAGATCTCCTGTAACTTTTTTGGGGGGTTGGGTGTATACATTCTGTGTATATCTTTTCATATGTGAGGTGAAGAAGAAAAAAAAAAAATAATCAACCATCTGCTTCTGATAATTCATTTGAAACCAGCCCATTCTGTCCGTTAGCGATTTTCTCCCTCTTTCAAAAGATAACAAGACTCATTGAAAAGACGTCCAATTTACAGTCTCAAAGATTTCTGAGACCTTATTTCATCACAGCTGAGGATGTAGTAGATGAATGAGTAATGATGCATGCAGGCTAGGATCATCTATTTGACTGATACGCTTCTAACCGATTACATAGCACACCTAAGACCTCATTTCTTGGAAAGGTCAGACAAATTACAAAACCCACAGAAAACACAATTCTTGTTCTGTAGGTCTCCACTACACTCTGATTTGCCATTCTAATTTAAGTAAAAAATTTTCAATAAGTAAAAATAAGAACAACTTGCATTATGATTATTAATTATCATGCAACACCATTAAAGATTTGAGGACTTATCTGAAACTATTTAGAAATGTTAGCTACTTTGTCAACATGATCAACCGGCATTAGAAAGCTTTGTCACTAGCTTTATTTTAGCTTCCAACAATTACAAATAACAGATTTTCGCTTTTTCCAGAAATTAACAAAAACATACAAATATTATACACCTTCTTCCTAGCCTTTTGAAGTACTTTTCCTCTATGAAGTTTAAACACAGCATGTTACATTATTTATTCCTCCTCAGTGTATCTTTTTGCATGACTTCTGAAGTCCAAATTAGTAATGCCATTTTCGTAAGAGGCAAATTAAAGCTATACTAAAAATATGATGAACTTGTCTGAAAACCACAGGCAGTAAGAGTGGTCATCTTAATGCAGGTATGTATAACTGTGACAGAACCGGATTTAGTCCCTAGTCCTGTTACGAACTTTTCTGTGGCTTTATGTCAAGTAACCACCATCTTTTTGCACTTGTTGCTGACCTGCTTCTTACACTTAGACTGAATGGGTTTAGGGGAGACAGCAGGTTCTTTTAAAATCTCTGCATACCAGCTTACGAGGCTGCAAGTGTTACTACATTACATCATAAAGTTACATTTACTGAAAAGGAGGGTTAATATCATCCAGAAGGAAATCAAGATACATAATAATTTAGTATTAATGCAGACTTAAATGCCAAGACTAACAAGACTCACATCTTGTCACTAAAACCCAACTCATAAAATTATGTTAAACCTAAACCTCACCTCTGGTACATGAATTATAGCACACTTTTAAAAACCCAAGTTGTACAACTATCCAGCATATGATAGCATAACATAAGCAAAAGTCAGAACTGAGTCCTTACCACATTTTCTGTTAGTGATCTCATTATATGCATATAAGAGAACATCTACATCAAGAATTTTAACAAGAATGCCACAGGTTCAACTTCGGGTATTTTTTCTGAGCACACAAAGAACCTGAAGAGCATCACATTAAGCTCAAAATAGAGCTCAACTCTTTCATGGAGAAGCATGGCCTTTGGCAACCTCTGTGAACAGGGCATGGCAGACACTCTGACTGAGTCCACTCTGAAGACACCTTTATTGACAATACAGAAACAAGAATTCTAAAGCAAATGAAAGGAAATAACATACTAAGACAAAAGAAAGAATCAGGAGCAAGGTTGCTGTTATCATTCTGCCGTATTTCACACATCGTAATTTGCCAACCTCCATCTTACAACTCTCTGAACTTTTATGTATTCTCACCCTTCTCTAGTATCTGAATAAAAATGCAGCTATAAATTGCATGCATAAGTGTACATTTAGGCTTCTGAGCTTTTTCTATCCTTTGTTCTTTATTTACATCACTTTTATTTTGTGCCTTCTTGTACAGTATGCAGCCCAGAATGAGAACTCGGTTCTTCCATATTCAGACAAGCACCATTCCTGTTTTGGAAATTTTTCCCTATCCAAATGGCTAAGGTATGGAGCCTTTTTATCAAGTTTTTCAGCTGTAGAGGTCAAATTCTGTGAAAACAAACAAGCCAAAAAAAATAAACTGACTAGGGAAAAAACCCTACACAAACAAAAAACTGTATAATCATCCTCATTTGACAGATGATGTGGAGTTACAGTATACCAAGCTCACCCAACTGGCCACGAGCAGAGTTAGAAAATGTACCCAGCTCCCTAAGTCTCTTTCACAACAATGAACGTTTTTACAGAGTAAAAAGAACAGCCATGATATATAATCTCTCCTACTCATCAAAACAAACATGACTGACCCCACTGACACTATGAAAACGTTTCACAACTGCAAAAAAAAGTTACTTATGTCATGTACTTTTTATTTTCCTGGTTCCTGGAAAAACAGTGCATTTAAAGAGGTCTGTCCAGAAAGTAAGAATTAAAATATTTAATTAGTTAATATGATTGTGATTATAATTTTACTAGCAAAAAACTTTAATATACACAAAAGAATGAGTATGTTTAAAATCAAAAGGTTAGAAACCTTATGTAGCTTTGCAGACAAAAATTGCAATAGCATCTAAGTGACTTTCAAACCTAAACCACTAGAAAACAAAGTCCACTAGAGCCATGTCACTTGGCCAACTATACCAAGTATAATAACCACAATTATTAAACGTATCAAAAAAGACTCAATGACCCAAGCATCCTCAGAGTGGGATTCCACTATGCCAAGCAAGTCAAACCTGTTAATTTGATGCATACTATAAGCACTATACACAAAGAAATATGTTAGAAAGCTTGAGACTGGAAAGCAACCTCTCTGGATCCAGGAAAATGTCCGAGTTATTTACATAAGCAATGCTACATTGGGCACTGTTTTATAAATTATGAATCTTTACCTCTCTCCTCTCCTAAATCCCTGCCTTACAAAACTTAATATGATGGGTCTCATATTAATAAGCAGCTTCCTTACTTTGCTTTTGCCTCTTTACTACTCATACTGCAGCCTCACATCTACATTCTAGTCATTACGTGCTCACAAAAGAATTACTAACTGCCTCAAGGACATTTCTACAGCACTCATCTCTGTGGTGTCAAACATCTTCACAAACACTCATCCATCTTCCCTATCAATCCATGAAATGAGGTATTTCAATTTATAAATGATGGCAGGAAAAAAAAAGAAAATAAACTTTAGCTACAGGTTCTTCAGAGACTTCAGATTATTATGGTATTTCTTGCTTTCCAAAATGTCTGCTGTAGCTACAAGTAATACATCATTTTGCAAGTCATACTGGAGGATCTTAAGTCAAGCACCCCAAAATTTGTGAGAGGTGTGATAACTGTAAATGTAACAAATGTAACATGTAGGGGATGTTATCACTTCAGGTTGTCAGAAACAAGTCTTGGTTCTTCGTGAATAATTCCGACGGTTGCAAGACAAGGGACTCCTGAATAATCCCTTTAGGCGCCTGGGCCTTGGGAGAACAGGTATGCAAACTACAGAGATAAGGAGGCTGCAGGATAATCTGAAGACCCCTGCCGAGAGACGCCAAACAAACATGTGTGACGGACATTACCATATATTAATGAATTCTTGGAAAAGCCATTACTATGATAAACATTTCTTGGAAATGTAATTAATATGTATGTTAACATAGCATAAATACCTAGTAACTGTGTCTCTTCGGTGCACACGTTTGGAGGAGAGATCCCCCGTGTGCCCGGCGCCACAATAAAGAATACCTGCTTAATAGTCTGCCGACTATTGAGTCTTCAATTCCGGCTTTTCACGGCATCAGGTGTTTGTGTGCGGAACTTCTAACTAGGTATGAAATGTATCCTTCAAGTAATCTGATTTCAGAAAAGGGCACATACAGTGCAGCATTCACTAGCCTTAACTACAGTATTCACGCTTTTCCTGGGCTCACATCGCCCACCAAGGGCCTTCTACCTTCTGTAACACACAGAGAGCAGAGGTCTGTCTTTATTACACTAATTCTGACTTACTCCAAGTTGGCCCATTCTCTACAAAAAACAAGGCATGAAATCTATGTACTTAAGTCTTCTTTAGAAGAAAAATGGGAACTGATGAAAGAAAAAAAATACAAGAGCAAGTGGGAAGAACAATGATCACAACACAATAAATCAGGTTTTACAGAAGTCCTGAGACCGTCCAAGTAACATTAAAATCTGAAGAGTGAAAGTTGTTCTCAAAGAACAGCAACTTGACATAAGTAGGAATGAAACTTCTGCAATGAATTGTGATAAACTGAAAAAAACCAAACTACAAATTTCTCCCAAAGCATGCATTAATTATTTCGCAAATAGTCAGAAGCTATATTTATCTGTATCCTTCTCAGAGCATTTCACCTGCTTCTTCTGATGAATTCAAAAGCAGACAGGTTATTAGAACTCATGTACCATAGCACCACTAATGCAACTACACATTTTTTTTTCCTCTTATTTACAGAAATCACCATTTTCTTTTTTTTCTTAAGCAAAGAACATAATCTTTCCTCACTGAAGGAAATCAACAAAACGTTATTTTTATAATCTCTTATTACAAATAATAAGCATTAGCATGAATGAAACATGCAAATCATGCCAATGTTACAAACTTGGATGGGAGGCTGGGCACTATGGGAAGTAGCAGCTGACAGGAACACATGAAAGAGGGGAGGACAGATTTGGGAATAAATGTAGAGATAACTTGACTTTTCCTTATACTTTGTGCATTTCTCATTTTGTCATGCATTCTCTCACTCATTTATGCAGGAATTCTAAAGACAATGTAATTGTGTTACAATTCAGAACACAATACAGACTGCACCCTGAATGGGCCTCTTGGCACTACAGCAATTTAAGATCTTTAATTGTTAGAAGGATTAACAAATACTTTCATCAAGTGATTCTGCAATACAAAAGACCAATGTCAGAATCATACCTAGAAGAGAGGTCTCCTTTGCAAATGCTGCAGCAATAGCTGGGTCCAGCGCTGGCTGTCCATCACCAGATGGAAGATCAGGACGAGTGTAGTCCCTGCTTTTATCATTGTTGTACTTGACATTCAAATTCACCAATTTGGAAAAATCAATCCGTAGGGTACAGCAAGCATTATAAATATTTTGACCATCTAAGGCCTAGAAAAGGGAATCAATTTATTTAGAAAATACACAATACAGGTTGGTTGCACAACTTTTTTTTTTTTAAAAAAACAAACAAACAACAAGGTCAGCGTACAGATATTTATCCGTCTTACTGTCTAGCTTAAAACCAATTAAGATTAAAATGCATTAATGTCTCTTAACATGATTCCAGGAAGCTCGATGTTTACTTCTCCTACCTAGAATCTGTTTCTACACCAAAGCAGCATGAGACATTTTAATGCAGTCAAACTTCAAAGTTAGTCTGTTGAATACAGTTAATTAACCTGTATTTCATAGTACAGCTTTTATTCAGGCGTAATGCCAAATAAATTTTTTAAAGAAAAAAAAAATCCACAATCATTCAAGTGCTCTTTCACATGGAAAGCTGACCTGAGGGAAACAAGTAAGACATCTAGGCTTAAATACCATGTTAGACAGCTGCCTATTAAAGCAGAATATTTACAATGTTCCTGCATTATTTCCTTCTCCCCTTACAGGTACTTGGTGCCAAAACTGAAAGAAAACGAGCTTAATCTTCTAATCTAGTGTTACTAATATTTCTTAAAAATAATTATATTTTCACAATGAATTGGTACTTCTGAAAGGATGCCTATTAACAGTGAAATTCACACGAACTCTCAACACATCACCACTTACAATTCTATGAAAACACTCTCTAAAAAGGCCTAATTATATATGTTTTGTCCATCCATGATATACCAAGCAAACTGATATACCTGGATTTTACTCCATTTACATTTTGGGCATACCATCCTTTCATCTGAAGCACTAACAGCTAAATATGAGATATTTAGAAAATGGAAACATTTGTACCTAAGTAGGTTTATGTTCTTAAGAAATGCTAGGAAGTGAAGATACAGCTCATCTTAAAAATTACTATTTAACATAATGACTTGATTAAATAGACTAAACTACCTTATATATACACATGGTGAATCACACTTTCAAATAAAAAAAATCAGATCTTTTGTTTCCCTCGATTAATGCTGGACTGAAACGTACCACTTCTGGACCACAGCTAGCTCGGTTACATCTGCAATGGACTTTCCAACACATTCAAGTTCTAGTAGGACTTACTATTTTGAGGCAAGCAGTGCACAAACCTAGTGTGCCTGCTGGGCATGGAAGCAACATCATTATTTTAATACAGCGATGCATCTGGAAACTGAACATCCTGCATACACGCCTCTGCTAGGTCTGGGCCAGCAAGGCTGTCCCTTCCCACAGAATATATTATCACAGCTGACATCCTCAGGGCTCATGAAATCACTTAAAAGAATTACCACCATTAGCAGCCAGTGTACAAGAATAAGTAAGCCATTATTAATAGAACTTCCAAGTAATGGGAAAATAAAATAATACAAAAAAAAATAGTAGTACAGAAACTTGAGAATATAGACATCATCTCAACTAATGCTTTGCAATTATAGAAAAACTCCCACACTTGAAACTCAGCTTAAGCAATGTTTTAAACAATACCAGCAAAGCCAAATCTACTGTCTGATTCACAGAATACAAGCTGAGGATTAATTCTGTATTGTTGGGGTGGTGGTGAGTGTCACCATTACAGAACACAGAATTTGCTAGCTCCTTTATACACAGTGGCAAAGAAAAATCCAAGACTCCTGATGTTGGTATTTGGGAAAAGAATCTCACTTGACCACTTACATCTAAAAAAAGCATACACTGAGAATCAGTCATCACTTTTAGAAGACTTCTTACCTTCTAAAATCCACTAAAACATGGATTAAAGGTAGGTCCACTCTGCACAGCCAGAGCTTACTTACTGTCAAAGACAATGCTGTTGTCATAAAGGAAATACCCATTCTCATAATGAAGAAAACTAGGTATGAATGAGACCAAAAGGCAGTATCCTTTAGCTTTCTTCAAATCACAGGATCATGACACAAAGCTCTAAGTCTTTAAAACACAGTCAAGATTCATATTATACCTCTATGTGGAGTCTGCAGGCACACTGATTTATGTCTGGCAGAATGCTGTGAGGTTGATGAAAATCTTTTAGTCTTAAGAAGTAGCCAGCCAAAATACATCTGTGTTTGTAGTTTCCAGAGTAGTCAGTGTTTAAGGGGACCCACATAAGTAACTAGAACTTATACTGGAAGAGCGAAAACTCTTCTTTCTAATGAATTCAAAATGACCAAAACTACGTACAAAAGAACACTGCACAACAAAAATCCCTTGTAGTTGGGGCGCAAACAGTTTGAAAGAACATCCTGAACTGGAAAGGAAGGAGACACTCTTAATGAGCACTGTAGTGTACTCTGTGAAAGGCTCCTCGCAACAGATCAAAATCAAAAACAACCTCACACCACCCACCTCTACCAGTAGCATCATACACCTCCAACAACAATGCAAGAAAGTTTACCAGCAACTAGGGTTTTTTCAATTTTTTCAAGCTTCACTGTTCACATGTAAAGTCACAACTGTGAATGTGTGTGACCTGAGCTCCTCCTTATACAGCAGTAAAAGAATGTGCAACGAACCCTCAAACTCTATTCCTCTCAAATACACATCCCGAAAAAAATAAGACGACAGTAGCCATACTCTTAATGAAGGTACATACAGGCAACATCTCGAAGAATTCTAGTTACTGCTCAGAAACTTCGTCTTTGAGCATTTATCTATACGTACATTCAGATGTGACACTGTACCACACCACACACGCCAAACCAAAGAGATCAAGTACCATGGGATCCTTCTACAACATGTGAGTATCACACTCTATCTTGCCTGTGCCAGCAAACCCACTACTTAAGCCTCAACAACAGGAGTATCAAAACTTATGTCACCATGCAATACGAAGAGCGTAATGACACCGAATCGTTTCCAGGCCCCTGTCTTCCCTCCCTCCTCCTTATTACTAAAAAGCACCCTCCTCTTGGACTTTCCCAAGAGGACAGTGATTCTGGAGTGGTTCACCTCCTGCCAAGAGCTCGTCAGTAGACAGATTCCTGAAAAAAACATGTAGTATTTCAGAGCACACAAAGAAGACAGCTAGTAAGAACATGCAGAAGACCAATAGAAAACAGCAGTAAAAGAACAATCAAAAATCCCTTTCTTAATTCTGACTGACACATAATCCAAGGAGAGAGGCGCATGCCTGAAGTGACACAATGACCTGAACTCCACAGTGTACTCCTGTGCATGACCTCAACTCCAAAGTGCAAACACACTATCATCCGTACAAGTTTCTCTACAGCCACAGATTGTTCTGGGGAGGGGAAAAAAACAAGTCAACAAAAAATCCCCCACCAAACAAAGATGACCCCTAATAACTAAGTATGCTGCATGGTTCTACATAAGCTACAGCAGTTAAGAAAGTGAGCAAACCAGAAATAATGCAAATCACAACCCCCAATACTAGTGAAAGTTCCAAAACAGTAGAGTTGGCTGGAAAGAAGCTAGTATTCCTAGACAACTACTACAGCAGAAACATTCAAAATATTTAGAAAGGTTCTTAACAATCAGGGCTATAGTCACAAAGAATCCAAAAATCTCCTTGTGTCTCAATGTAGCACCTTTCACTAAAGGCAAGAATAAGCAAGCAAGCCCTAAAACCACAGAAAATCGCAGACATCGCCTAGGAAGTCATAAGGATCCAGAACAGAGAGCTATAACTGTCTGTTACAGACAGTAAAAATGAACATAAGAGAGAATATTGGCCAAATGGAGGTCTGTGCCACAAAACACAATACTCTCCCATTTATTAAAAATAATGTCAAACCACCCTCTCTTTTTGCTCATGGCAGCCATGAGGTTGAAGAGATGGAAATTGTTGACTGAGAAAAGATCCCACAGATTAAGAGGCGAGACAAAAGACTGTTCCAATAGAAAAAAAGAAAGGAAAAAAAAAGAAATTAATTCAATACACAGTATTTTCTCCTGCTGCTGATGTAATCAATGACATGCAAGCTTTCTTGCAAAAGGAAAGTAAGAATTCCTATCTAGTCAACACGGGCTCGTGACACTAAGACCTCTTGTTTCTCAATGTGATAGTGAATGTTGAGAGAAGTGATACCAGCAGCAAAGGTGATCTCACGTGGCAAAAGTACAAAGTCACAAAATGTAAGAACCTGAATGTCTGATGCAGCTCTGTGATGCAGCTTCATGCAGATAAGATTTATCTGTAAGCTCTGAAGTGGAGGAAGAACATTCCTAGAATCATTTCTTCTCTCAGGCTTTCCTCACCTGAATGAAGGGCCTGCTGATGTAATAGACAGAATTCCCTGCTCTTGAAAGCATTTACCAAGTTCTGATAAAGAAAAATCAAATCAGAGTGGAGAGAAAAAAGGGGCAGAGACAGGCAACACAACAAAACCATTGCCTTCTCTCCAAACTCTTAAGGAGAAAAAAGAGTGAAAAATTTAGTCCCTACTCTCTCTCTTCCCAAAGCACACAAAGCAGGAGAAACTATAAACAAGATTTTTAGAAGGGCATAACTGTTTAAGGCATTAAAAAAAAAAAAAGCAGTAATCCTTACAAAACATACTCCAGCTCAAATAAGTACCTCAAAGTAACTGAAGGTCATGTGGTAAATATCTCTTGGGAGAGATGTGTCCCAAGTGCATCCTACAGTTATGCATCTGAATGATACTAATTTCTTTTGAGACAAGTGTCTTGGATACGAGAAGTTTCCATGGCTAAAAAGCGTATGTAAAACACATTCCATTATCCAAAAACAAGACTTTTTTTTTTTTCATGTGCAGTTCCTTGACTGAAGGACCAGCTGCATATCTTCCTCTTCTCTATAAAACTGGAAAATCCAGGATACCAACACTGCTGCTGCACCTCCTGGGCTTTCTGACGCAATGGATACAACCCAGCACTCTTCTGTTTACCTGAACACTACTCGTAATTTCCAAGCACAAACCGTGCTCTTTAGGATTCAAGATGCCCAAAAATCCTTAATGCAATAACCATGGATAATTTTCCTGAAGCTAAATATCTTATATGGAGATGTCTTTGCTTTTCATTCTGTCAACAACTACCTGATGTTCCCGTTACAGATTTTAGGACCATGTAAGCCTAGCAGAGACCTTTTGCAGAGTCACCCCAAAGCTGTCACTCAAAACAACTGGAAAGAAGACACCTTGAATGGAGAGTCAAACCTCAACAGAATCTCTGTAGAAGTACTCTGAATCACCTATGAGCCAAGTAAGGACCAAGTGGTCAACTATAACAGAAACTCTCAATCAGACTTTTGATATTTTTAATCCACGTTGGGTCAAAGATGACTGTCACAGGCTACATATCTGTCAGTTAATGCTGCATCTGTGGAAGATTAATAACTGTGTCAATATCCAAGATTTGGCAAGAGTACTTTGCATATATTTACACAAAGACAACAGTCTGGATTAGCCAGCTGTTCAGATAGAAATACCGGCGCTCTAATCTTTCTGTGGTATACCAGATTACCGGTATTCGAATATCTAAGTCTGCTGCTTATGCTGAGCATACTGATCATTTACTACAAAAATGAGCTATTTTTGATGCTTGGAATATCTGCTTATGCATACAGACATCTCCACGACATCACCTTCTGTTTCATTAGGAGAAGCACAGCAGTTCAATGTGCTGTACTGTTGCACATTCACAGTACTTTCTCCAACCCACGGCTAGACTGCTGCATTGCACCTGCAATGAAGAACCTCAAGTTTGTTGTCTTCACCTTTACTTGTTGGTGTAATGCACTATAACGATCCAATCTGAGGGTGGTGGTGAAACATGAATCAGCGAATCCATAATCTACTTTAACAGGAAATGAGTTTCTCACAAAGCAAGTGGAGCAGCAATGCAATTTTTCACTACTTGCTCATTCAAATAGCAAAAGCGGTCCCGCAGGGCAAGAGGCTTCGTATTGTACATTCTTCTCAGAACCTTCAAATGAATAGCATCTCTCCTTGGTACTTACATCACTTGAGTTTTTCAAATTGCTCTTTAACTTCCTTAATAAGTCTTCAATTTCTATTAAGGCCACATTCTGATTTCCTGTGAAGAGTGCCAGTGGAAAATTAAATTTCCCCATTATCTTCTACAGCAACAACTGATGGAAAACAAATTGAAAACTTCTTTACTCACTCTTTTACCATGCTTTTAATTTTGAACTCCATGCAACTTAAGTGAAGCCACCACATCTTCTTGCTCCTACTGTATTTCCAGATGTATTTAAACTGGACGGTTTTTTGCTATCATCTGACTGTTTCTTTCCTTTAGGTATTTTTGTTTTGGTGGCACAATGTTTTACCACAGCAGCTCAACCATAAGAACTGTACTTATTTTACTCTATTTAGATTGGGAGGGTAGTGGGGAAATCAAACCTTCCTTCAAATTTAGCATTCTTCAGTACTTGCAGTTGGTATTACTCGTAGCATTTTGTCTATTTATGTATAGATTGGTTACAATATGAAACTATAAACCTAAGACCATTTCCATTTGTCACTAAGATAAGCTCCAAGAGCACTCTGACAATGACTGTACATGCAGGAGTCGCTGTTATTCAATGAAGTTTAGTCATTCACACATGAACTACCACTAGTGAACAGCTACCCTACTCAAAACATGCAAAACTGGAGAAACAAATACATGCTTTTTTTTTTTTAAAAAAAACAAACAAGTTACCAATACAGTATCCCACAAGCTAGTATCAGTTTGTCAGAAGTCAACAACAGCACAAGATTCTCAGGTTCCTTTCATACTTTTACATACCTCATCCTTTTGTTATTTTGTCCCTTCTTTATAATATATTCCTAGAATTATACTGATAATTTTCAAATCACTACAGTCCATTTCACAGATGCAATCTTTCCATTAAATCTTCTGATAATTTATATAAGACTCAGAAAACAAAGTCAAAAGATTTATCACTTGATGTCATGCTTAGCTTGAAAAATGCATTTAAAAGCAGCATTAACAGCTATTACTGAAAAATAACTTTCCAAACATGAATCAAGACTGAATTACAACATTCTGCAACCAACACATCAGCACCCATTTATCAAATATTTCAGATATTAATCTAAATGACTACAGTTGACTCCTGCAGCAATTGTAGGTTAAAGATGTAGTTTCTGTATTACTATTTTAAACCTAGTTCAAACCTAAAAGGTATATCCCATCCAAGCAAATTTTTACAAATTGCAGTGACATATTTGCATCTCTCTGAGACATGTTCTAATATTTGATATTATTCATCTCTGAAAAGGATATCCCTAATTTAAAGTTGTACTCCAAATCTACAAATATTTCCAGACTGCTTTTCAGGAGTAGATGATCTTAAAGTACATCACCATAAATCAAGCTGCAAATCTTCTTCTCCTTCGCTAACTTTAGTTTTCATACTATTGAGAAAAATAACACTCTGCTCTTTGAAAACACGTCTCACTTTTTGTGATTCCCTGTCTTGACCACCTCACACACTTTTAATCAATACCCAGTATTTCATTTGGTGACGAGGATAAATTTCAGCATCCTCCATGATGTAATGAAGATCTTTATTTCAATATAGTCATCATTCTTTACAACAGAAAACTAAGCCTATCTTTTTCTTCCTCTACAAAGAGATATTCATTACCAACTTAGTCTGAGGTGCGAGCTTTTCACCTTTTCCTGTTGTTCTCAGCTATTCCGTCATCTATGGGCAGTAAGCACTTTCTATGCTGCCAAGCAACATTTAACCAGCACAGCAGTTTTAATCAGCCTTCCACAAACCCAGACTGCACGTGAAAGTTTGAAAACATAAATTCATTCCATTTACCTCTTGGGGGGGGGGAAGGGGGGAAGGGGAATAAAAAAAAAAAACCTAGCCTTCCCCTTTAGTTCAACATATCCACTCAACTCAAAATGTCTGGTTTAGATGACATGCTGTTGATCTTTGTCGTAATTTATCCACAGGCTCTCTCCTGCTGTAACAAATAAAATCAGTTACCTATTCTTGCCTCTCCTACCCAGGATAGGAGAGTTTCCTATAAAATAAAAGTAAGATCCTGTTCTCATCTGTCACCACTGCAGAACTTCTTCATAGTCTGGTCCCACAAGTAAGACTGTACTCTCTCTCCTGGGGATTTATGGTTACACAATGTAAGTTTGGGGGGTTTTTTGCTACTATAATTAAATACTTTCATAAATCTCTATCAATCCAATCACACATCTTTGATTTCATGCTTAGAAAGACTCTACCAACAATAATCCAATGGGCTTAGTAAATTTACTGCTTACAGTGAATTAATTATGCATCAACATTACATCCTGTATTTTACTTCTGGCTGACATTTTCACTATTGCATATTATTTCATCTCTGTGCAGTCTTATTAAAATATTTGTTCATAATTATAGATGTATACAATTCCTTAGACAGAATATCCTTAAACATAGTGTCTTTAAACACTGATTTTACGCAATATAACAACATTATATAGTAACTCCCAGTTCTTATCTCAAAAAATTCCCACAAGTGGCAGAGGACTATGACACATTATTATGGTCAGTACTCTGTTATGTTAACATTTCACAAATGTTTACAGTACAGGAAGGTCGCCAGCCTTAAAAAGAGAGCTATACTTACTAGTTTTGCTTGCTGTGCATTTACTGGATCTCCATACTGCAGTAAAGCTTGAAACTGGTTATTCTTTGTGAATGTGATTATCTTCAATACAGCACCAAATTTAGAGAATATCTGCCAAAAACATTGTAAAGTTTTACACACAAGTTCCTCCCAGTCATAGCTCAAGTTAACATGAAATTTGGCTTACCTGATGAAGAACATCCAGGGTTACCGGGTAGTACATATTGTCAATAATTATTCTAAGTACTGGACTCTGAGCTGGAGTCACCGCACTCTCACTAACAGTGGTCCCGCTAATGGGAGCATTTGTTGCCTGCACAGCTGTCACTGCCTGAAGAACAGCTTGGG